CTCCCATATGGCGGCCTCCATGGTAGGGGAGTTCAGCAACGGTGCTCTCGGGAGCGACGCAAGCCATGGTAAGGTTTCCTCAATCGCGACCCCCAAAAGGTGGTGGTAACGCTGCAGTCGCCGTTGTCTTGCCAGCAGGCGGTGAAGGACTTCCAAGATGTCAGCTTGACTGCCCAGCATCATCTGCCTATTAACCGCGTCACGGACAACGTCCTCCGGCCGCAAGGACGAGGTAGTGGAAGTGGTTGGTCCATAATCCACTATCTCACCCTCTTCAACAGTCCAGTTCGCCCCAAACCACCCCAAAGAAGTGCAGGTTTGGACATGTGGCAAAGTTGTTGTAGTCGAGGAAGACAGACACCCCAGCGAAGACAAAGTACAGGACGATGTCGAGGGAGGAGAAGGACAGGGAGGAGCCGAAGAGGCCGATGTCGACAAGCAGTCCAGCGCCTCCAGGTAGTCGCAGTCGAAGTAAGTCACCCCCGAGGAAGACGATGACGGATTAGGCTCCCCAACTTCAACAAGGTTCACCCCATGTTGCAGTAGGTATACAACCTCCTCGCAGGGCCAGGTCGACGTAGTAGAGGTGGTGGAAGGATCACTCCAAATTCCCAGTTGTTCCCCTGCTAGTGCTCGCTGGACCTCCGGGCCAACATGCGGCGGAAAGTTGACGGGTAGTGGAGGCGGAGGTCCCCTGGGGGTGGCACCTGAGGAGCACGGAGACACATCTACCAGGTTGCCGTTGTCGTCGTACGCAATATCGCTGCGCGCATAGTTGCTGGCTCCTTCCTCAGAACTAGAGCTCGAGGCCGCTTGCGCGGACTCATGGGACCTGCACACTCTGGACGGGGAACGGCTGCGGACCCTGATACTGGGCGAAGACTCGGAGGACGATGTGGCCGGGTGAGCCGCTGGCACACTTGTAGCTTCGTGCCTCGGCCCTCGAGTATCTCCTGAGGACGATGCTGGCATCTCTCTCGGCCCTCCAATCGCCACCACGTTGACCAGGTTGTCCGCCACCGGCTGAAGCTCAGAGGGCTGTAGGGGTACCTGGAGGTGCTGATTTAAGGACTCCGTCATCAACGAGGCGTAGTTCCTCACCCACGAGAAGAGCCTCCACCTATCGGTTTCTTCCCTAGGTAGCCGCTGCACCGGCCAGAAACCACGCGGTTGTAGTCTGCGGGCGAACACCTCCAGAATACTTTCAAGGCTTTGCATTCCTTCCTCCAGGCGCTGGGTGATCCGACCAAGTGCCCAGCGTGATTCCGGACCAAGCTCCGCGGTGTTGCGCTGGTCGAGCTGCCGGAGCAGGTCATCAAGGCGATCAATTTGTTGTCGTGGTACGCCTTGTTCTTGTAACATAGCTCGCTCGACATCTGCATCATCCAGGAAACGTCACCCTCCTCCGGGATGAAGGGGCTGACATTGGGGTACAGGCCAGCATTCGGAAGCATCGTCTCCCGATCAGTAAGTCCGCCGTCAGGGGCAAGTGAGGTGGTCGACGAGGTTGAAGAAGAGCCCGACCATGCCCAGGAAGACGAAGAAGGGCTCCAGGAAGAAGTCGACCAGTCCCACTCTTGCCAGCCCCACCAAGTTTCCTGTCCATTCCACTGTCCTGACCACGGGTCCGGGTCAGTGGCCTCAGTCGGCATGTCTCCCGCATTGACGAGAGTGGAGTTGTCCACAGGTTCCAGACTCACTTCCTCCTTGGGGGAACTTTCTGGAATGGCTGTCCCAGCAGTGCCAGCATCTCGCAGAGTCTTTTCAGCAATGTACCTTTCCAGCCAGG